ATAAGAGTTCCACTTCGCTATGGCTTGTCAGTCACCAGCTCCAGGACCCAACAATGTCACTGGTGACAGCCTCTCCAAGAGCCATACTGTGGCTGGTGGAGAGCAGAGGAGATCAGAGAGACATCTGGCTATACACCAGAGCCAGATGCAAACCAACGACATTTCCCACCAAGATCCACTAGGGGTCTCCAGAGGTCTCAGCAAATGATGACATTAGCATTGAGTCTGGGTACTAGAACATAGCCAGACAACTCTCCAATCCTCTCTGTACACCACCAACAATGGAATGGCCATTTTAGGTGGTTATTGCAATGACATAGTGAGTTTCAGTTTGTCTGTATGTGTCTTGGATTCTTGCAGAGGAAAGAAGAGAATACCACAGAAGCCAATATATATATATATATACACATGCATGTATAAGGTGGAACTGCATTTCCATATGTCACTAAGAGGATGCTGGTTACTTTGAAAACATTTCAGTTTTTCAAAGTACTGGACAGAATTTAACAGAGATAACAGATCCAGCCCACAGCCTTACAGTCTTATAAAGACAATGCAAAGGGGGAGAAGGACTGAAAAGGGAAAAAGGAAGACAGCTCTGGAGAAGCTGCAACTTCATTGATCAATGGGGTCAGACTGGGTTCTCCTTTTCTCATGAAGTTCTGACTGCTCTATGGATTAGGGATGGAATGGATCATCAATTTTCCAACTGGGGTGAAATTTTGACTTCCCCTTGAGAAATTAAATGGGAATCAAAACAGTGTGTCAAAAGTTCTCTCTTCTCACTTTTGTCATGTAATAGTGCTGGATTTTGCATGAAATACATTTAAAAATCAGCAGTCTTGCACAAAACACACACATGGCTGCCTGAAAACAGTCCTTCCAATACTGTACAGTTTTCAGAGAAGGCTTTGCAGATCTAAGCATAAGCTGTGTAGCTTCCAAAAACTGCAATTTTATGGCAATCTGTGCAGCTATCATGGAAAAGCTGCGCAGTTGCCCATCAGAGGAGGGAGGGGGGAATTCCCACATGTTTCAAAGCTACCAGACAAAAAACTCTTTCAGTGTTCTTGACATCTGTTGGGACTCTGAAAAATCAAGATTTGCCATTGCTACATGGACAGTCACACAGTTGACCTGAAATGGACAGTAAAGCAGTACAGTTGTGAGTTCAATCCCAGGGCTCCAAGGTTGACTCAGTCTTCCATCCTTTCATAGGTTGGTAAAATGAGTATCCAGCTTGTTGGGGGTAATTGGCTTACAGATTGTAAGCCACTTTAGTGTTGAGTTCACTATTAAGCGGTATAAAATTGTAAATACTATTGTTATAGCTATTGCTATAGAATAGAATCATAGAATCATAGAGTTGAAAGAGACCACAAGGGCCATCCAGTCCAACCCCCTGCCATGCAGGAACTCCCAATCAAAGTATCCCTGACAGATGGCCATCCAGTCTCTGCTTAAAGACCTCCAGGGAAGGAGACTCCACTACTCTCCGGGGGAGTGTGTTCCACTGTTGAACCGCCCTTACTGTCAGGATGTTCCTCCTAATGTTGAGGTGGAATCTCTTTTCTTGCAACTTGCATCCATTGTTTCGGGTCCTAGTCTCTGGAGCAGCAGAAAACAAGCTTGTTCCCTCCTCGATATGACATCCCTTCAAATATTTAAACACGGCTATCATATCACCTCTCAGCCTTCTCTTCTCCAGGCTAAACATCCCCAGCTCCCTAAGTCATTCCTCATAGGGCTTGGTTTCCAGACCCTTCACCATTTTAGTTGCCCTCCTATGGGTCAGAAGAATATCAGCCATCCTACCAGCTAGGGACAGAGAAATTTATCTGTTTCTTTTTCTCAAAAACTCACTTGTTTTTTATATCTCAAGTTATTTTCATAGTATTTATGCACAAAATATGGCCAGTTCTTATTTTAAAAAATATGAACCAAATGAAAAACCTCATCCATCTGCACTGACAATTTAAATAGGTACAGCTATCCCAAGCATGAGTGGAGTCTTTCAGAAAAACTAAGTTGTCGTTCCTAATTTGGTATCACCCATATGGTCGAATCCCTTAAGATTCAAAGCCAGACTTACAAGAGCTAACCATTCAAAACCCTCTGCTTAGGGTGTAGCAGCAATCTGTCGGTTTTATCTTCTCCAGTGTTTAAAATAGAGATGGGAAGATTATTTGAAAACATTCCAAAAATGATTAAAAACTGTATTTCTCACATGTCAGAAAACTCTGCTCAGGAGACTCCCAGACTGAAGAGAACCTTTGATGTTTAGGACTTATTCTGCACAAGATTCACACATAGATTTTTGTGTGTGCAGAAAACAACATTTTCTACACATAGGATAATATTTCTGTACAGAAATATTATGTGCAGAAAATGCTGTTTGATATGTAAAAGAAACATATGCGAATTTTGCATTCAATAAGTCCCAAACTGCAAATAGTCATCAAAAACAGCACAGTTTTTAAATACTTCCTCGCAATATGAAAAAAATTGTAAAATTATTGATTGCCTCCTTCAAGAACAAAATTGGTGAAGAATGACATCCTCACTTCAAGATTTCACTTCCTTCCCAGTTTGCATTTCAAGAAATTTGTAAATTTTAATAAGTTCTTTTAAAAAAAGAAAGAGAGAAATTTTCATGCATCTATGCCACTAGTTGACAACTGAAATAAGGGTGGCAGAAGGGAACCATTTGTGCCTCCACTCTCCACTCCATTGACATGGGAAGAAGAAAAAGCCATACTGTTGCATCTATGCATGGTTTGCTGCAATTTGAGAGAAGGAAATCAGCCAGAAACTTTATTTGAAAATTATAGGGGTGCTCAGGATCTATCAGACAGGGAGGGACTATAAAACTGGAGTTGGGGGTTGCATACAACCCACAAGCCACACTTTCGCCATCTGTACACTGGGTGGCTACTTTATTTCTTGTGTGGCATAGTGGTTTCAGCATTGATGTACTACTTTGGAGACCAAGGTGTGAGTCCCAGCTCAGTCATGGAAACCCAGTGGGTGACCCTGGGCAAGTCACATGCTCTCAGTCTCAGAGGAAGGCAATAGCAAACCTCCTCAGAACAAATCTTACCAAGAAAACCCCACAATAGGTTCACTTTAGGGTCACCATAAGTCAGAAATGACTTGAAGGCACACAACAAGTGAAAATGTACCAATGTACCCAAGCGAAGGGGTCCTCCCAGAGTCTTAGTCCAGCACTCTAACCACTATACCATGCTGGCTCTACCTCCCTAGATAAACACATGAAGGACTCCCACCTCACCTATTAACCTGCCGAAGAGTTAGAGGCTAAAGTTTTGCATAGCTTAGAGGCAAAGGGAATGGGAGAGGATGGCGCACAATGGCATAACCGTATCGCTCTCATCTTCATTTCCCCAAAACATCTCTCACAACTTATTACGGCGAAGACGCCTACGAATGCAAACGCTGATTAGCAATTTGGCAGCAGACCAGCATATCCCCGGGATTCACGGAGCTTCCCTTTCAACCAGTAGTTCATACATGATTAATTAGAATGTCTCATTTATGTAGTGTGCACTTTAGCTCATTACTCTAAGTAAAATTTGTTAAGTATTTACATTTAGATAATTAAAATCTGGATAATACCCTTAAGAAAGAGGCTCGGCGTTCAGGCGGAGTGCTGCGCCTTTGCCTTTCACTGAGATGAGAACAAAAAATTACCGGACACTCTGACACTCCTGCAAAAACATAACATCCCAGTTGCATCAGCCTAGGGCAAAGCCTGGGGACCACTAGGGAAGACCATTAGATGTGGTAGGGAAAAGAAGAACAGACAACCCCATTACATGGAAGAAGAGCAGGAGGGACCTCAGGAGACCTCAATGGTGCCTTATGGCACAAGCATCGCTCTTACAGCCTTGAGCAAGAATTAGGCTCTTTCCCATGAAAAGATAGAAGAATGCACACCATAACCTGCTGGAAATATCCAAGCACACAGGATGGTATGCATCTGGCTGTCCCCATATATTGGCCAACAAGTTCTGTCATCCCCACTGAGGATGGCCAGGGGTAAGGGATAATAGGTGTTGCCATCTAAACTATCTGGAGGGCCAAAGCCTCAGACATGTTGGCCAATAGTCCCATGTTGGCCAATAGCTCCTGGGATTCTGGGAGCTGAAGTCCCTCGGCCCTTAAAGGGGAAAGGTTGCCTACCCCTGGTCTAAGACCATGCTTCATACACAGAACGTTCAATCCAGTTAAGCAGCTTCCAGTTCAATGATTAGGTGGTGGGAGATGGGAAAGAACTCTGCCTGGATGGATCTATACAGTAGAAATAATGCAGGTTGACCCCACTTTAATTGTCATGGCTCCATCCTACAGAATCCAGGGATTTGTAGTTTTAATTGTCATGGCTCCATCCTACAGAATCCAGGGATTTGTAGTTTTGTGGGGTGCCTTGTGAACCTATGGATCCCAGGATTCCATAAGATGGTGCTTCAGCACTTAAAGTGGTATCAAACTGCATTATTTCTGCAGTACAGAAATTCTTTTAAGGGAGGGTTATTGTATTACTGTTATTATTGTAAGGTATGTTTTTTAATTTGTATCTTATATTTGTAAGCCGCCTTGATTGCTTAGACAGAAGGCGGGCTATAAGAATAAAATTATTATTATTATTATTATTATTATTATTATTATTATTATTATTACAGAAACAATGAAACGCAGAAAAAAATGCTGCCAGTTGGTACAGATCGGGGTGGGGAAAATGTGGGTGATGGGCCATATGAGGCAGCAAGATTGTTTTTATGGCCTTAAGGACTCTAAAGATTTTAAATTAAGGGAGACAGACCTCCAAGGCCCCTGATGGCCCAATGTGGTCCCCTGACTGTTGACAATTCCCCAGCCCAATACAAACAGCAAAGAAAAAGGATAACTCTTATATTCATGTTCCCCACAACATCCTTAGTTATGATGAACAAATCTGCCTGCTTCCCTTTTTAAAGAGACCCTGTGTGGTGTAGCGGTGTGAGCACTGGACTGCAATTCTGGAGACCAGGGTTCAAATCCCAGTTTGGCTGTGGAAATCCACTGGGTGACCTTGGGCAAATCACACACATTCAGCCTCAGAAGTTGGCAATGGCAAACTCCCTCTGAAGAAACTTGGCAAGAAAACCCCATGATATGGCATCTTGGCATTGCCATACATCAGAAACGGGTTGAAGGCACAAAACAAAACAACAACAAAACTGGGCAGTGCATGGGAAAGGTGCATCATCCTTCGGATCATTTTCGCCCACCTCTTTGCAGCTCCCCAAAATGGGAAAACCAGGCGATAGCCGTACAGGCAAAGGCAGCAGGTTCCCAGCTGCTCTGGGAGGTTTGGGATGCTTACAATACTTTTTGCCTCCGGCAAAAATGTATTTCAATGTAATTATAGAAGATAGCTTTCAATATGTCATCTCTATTATAGTCGCTGTAAATTATGAAGAGAAGCATTTCTCCTGGCACTAAGAAAGTGGGAGAAGAGCTGATGGCGTGACATACTTTCTGGAGGGTTGGATGCTCAACATCCCCCTCCTTTCCCAACCCCCTGCTTTGTTCCCTCCTCGCCTCCGACCGCCTTCTCTTCCCTGCTGCTTTAAAGTGCATTCCCTTAACTGGCAACAAATGTCAAAATCAAACTCTGGGCAGGGGGCAAGCAGAAGAGAAGGGGCGAAAGAGAGAGCAAGGAGGAGGGGAGCAGCAATAAAGACAACATTGGCCTTTTGCTTCTGGGTTCAAAGAAGGCAAAGCAAACACAAAAAGGCAATGAGACATGATGGAGCTTCGGAGAGGCGACTTGGGGAGGGTGTGTGTTGGAAAGCTACAGTTCTAAAGGGGGACATTATGGCAGAGCAGGAGGTTGGAAAGGCACCATTGACACACTCCCTTCCTCTCTTCGCATCAAACGTTCAAAGCACCGAAGGGGTGATTTGCTTTTCCAAGCCGTGAGATTCTTCTGGATGTCTGAATAGGCTCTCAGCAGGGTGGGAAAAGTTGGTTGGAACCAGTCATTCATTACCATCAAGAGTGCCAAAGCCCTCCCAATGTGGTGAGCTACTATTAAACATACAGTTTCTCCAAGTCACATTTTATTTTCCAATTGCTCTTAAGTGATGAAAATGGAAGCACCTAAATAGCCTAGAGTCAGTCGGTCCTCTGTATCCATGGATTTTTTCACCCACAAATTCAAGCCTTCATGGCTATAAAATATTCATATATATATATATATATATATATATATATATATATATATATAAATTCCAAAAAGCAAATCTTGGCAATGATTCAGAGATAGGATATTTTGAATAGCTTTTTGCTTAAGGCCTCTAAGTTTGTGCCAGAAGTATGTTCTAACTGGGAATCTCCCCATTCCATAAGTCATTGTCTTCTTAGTCTATAGACTATCCATGTCTACTTTCCACATCTCAGCCATTTGTACAGTTGCCCTCCGTATCCACTGGTTCAGCCATCTATGGTTTGAAAATATTTTTAAAAATAAATAACTTCCAAAAAGCAAACCTTGATTTCACCATTTTATAAAAGGGATACCATTTTACTATGCCATTATATTTAATGAGACTTGAGTATTCATGGATTTTGGTACCCACAGGGGATCCTGGAACCAAACGCCAGTGGATACCAAGGGCCCAATGTACTTGGATGGGAGACTACCAAGGAAAACTAAGTACCGTAGGCTATATTTCAGAGGAAGGACCTGGCAAAATCATTTCTGAGTATTCCTTCCCTAAGAAAACACTATCCAATTCAAGGCATCTCTGTAAGTCAACAGGCAATGGAAAGCACATCCTTCTTGTTGTTAACTGCCCTCAAGTCAACTTTGACTTCTGGCAACACTGTGAATTATGCATCTCCAAGACTCCTTGTCCTCAACCAACCTGCTCAGTTCCTGCAAAGTTAAAGCCATGTCCACTTAGATTGAGTCTATCTATCTAGTGTGTAGTCTTCCTCTCTTTTCAATCTTTCCAAAAAAGTTGAGGTTGGAGAGCTTTTGGCCAAGATCTCTCACAAGCAGACACATGAGTGTACACAGAATTTTATGTTTCAACCCAGACTGCCCACCATGTCCTTCAACTTTCCTCCAGAGAGAAAAACTGGACAGATCAACCTTCACAAACAGCCTGGGTTTGAATGGCTGAGCTGGAAGCCCATGTTCTCCTTCCTTCCATCTTCCCTCCTCTACCAATCCACTCTTCTCTGGTTCTACCTGTAAGCAGCTTTCAGAAAACTTGGAGCAATAAAACAGAGACTATTGGACCCATTTTCCCCTTAGCAGCAGAGATGGACCCAGCTCTCAAGACAAACCAAGACAAGACAGTTGGCCGCAAAGCATCAGAGGGGAAAAATATTATATTTCTGCACAGCAGACACTGCTGGGTGTCAGGATCGACAGGGGGAAACTTGCATGTTTCACATCAGCTTTAGGTTTGGTCCTCCCAGCAGTGTTTCTTTCCTTCTTCCCCCCCCCCCCACTTCGCCTTGGTTTCCTGGGGTTTGGACGGATGGATTTGACATTTCGGTTGAAACCTCAGCAAAAGAAGCTGTGGGGCTTGTATCCTGGGTTCCTTCCAAATGCTTCCATTTATTACAGTCAGAGGGTATAAGGCCAGGGAAACAACGCTGCCTGCAATACTGGGGATTTATTCCTCTTTGTGGCTTTCTGTCTTTGCAGGTCTTCCAGGCACAGTTTTCAGTTAAGATGGGGATCAATGTGGCTTTGTCTCTACTATGGTTGTAGCAAGACAGGGAGAGATCTATATTTAAACCACAGATATTTGGGGAGCATAAGAAATGAAAAAAATCCATATATATATTTTCTTGGATAAGAGATCTTTCAGACATTTAAGAAGGTAGACAAACATACAGGAGAGCCAGCATAGTCTAGTGGGTTGGGAGCTGAACTCAGAGATCAGGGTTCAAATCTCTGCTCAGCCATGGAAACCCACTCAATGATCCTGGACAAGTTGCATTCTCTCAGCCTCAAATATGCACACACATGCAACATTATTTGGAAAGGAAGACAGTGGGAAACCTCCTCTGAATAAATCTCTTAAGGAGCCAGCATGGTCTAGTGGTTTGAATGCCGGACTACGACTCTGGAGGTCAGGGTTCAATTCCCCGCTCAGCCATAGAAACCCACTCCGTGACGTTGGGTGAGTCACTCTCAGCCCCAGAAAACCCCATGATAGGCCACCTTAAGGTTGGCCATGTCAGGAATGACTTGAATGCACACAAGAACAACATGGAAATCCACTGAGGGACCTTGGGTAAGTCACACTCTCTTGGCCTCAGGAGAAGGCAAAAAAAAACAAACACAAAATCTGCCATGATAGGTTTGCCTTAGGGTCACCATAAGTTGGAAATGGATTGAAAGCACACAACAGCAACAACAACAACAACAACAACAGTGCACATACGCTGGATAGCCAAGCCCAAAAGCATGAGTACAGTAGTGTAGCAATCTGGGCAGATGACAAAATGAGGACCATATTCCCCTTATAAGTCTGGATTCCCATATGAAACCCGGTCTCCAGATTTCTAGTACCACGGTAACTTCAACTGTCGGTGGAGCATTTAGAAATACACACTAAGTGTCCAAAAAGAGAAAGGGCAGACCAAGTGACCAGCGGAAAGCAAACACAGCAAATAAATGCTGATGGTTTTCAGCGCCTTACTCTCTGCGATGCTAAACCAACTGAGGAGCAAAGGAAATTTTCATTTGTAAGGGCAGAATTCTTATGGGGGGGGGGGATACCCTCATTTGCCCATCCTTTCTACCCTTCATGGGTAGACAATGCAAAGCCAAGTTAGAAGTCAACACACCACAACAAGGAAAGCCAAAGTTTGCAGAATATGTTGCAGAAAACATGCAAGCAATGCGTTGCTATTTTTCCCATGAACAAAGAAATCCCAAGACTCAGCTTTTTTTATTGTATACCTTGCACAACCTGGGTCCGTCCAGGTGAGTGTGGCCCACAACTCCCATCATCCCCCTTCAGCAGGATCAGTCCATGCCAGCTGAGTTGATGGGAGCTGTAGTACAAAGATACCTGTATAATCAATCTCAAGCACCTGAGCAATTGAAAAAGGCCATCATTTGTAATTTACAATCAGTAGACACCTATGCACATATTTTGTGAAATTTTCATCCTGAAAAAAAAACACCAAGTCCCTCATAAAATCAAACCAACACAGTATTTGGACTTTGTCCACTGGCTAGAAACCCCTGACCAGCCTTTGGGGTAGCAGAACTTGGTTAAGATTGGCAACAGGAAATGACATGACATCACTTCCAGTGCACCAGTACAGAGCGCTGTGCATCTGGACATATCGCCAATTTTAACACCCTGTGCTGTCCCCTTGTGGGCCAAGGGGGTAGCACAGGCGTTAACCATTGGCTCCCGTCCCTCTCACAGTAACCCACCCCTATTTGAGATGTTTCTGTTATCATTTTGCTTTGATTCTCAACCACCTTGAGTAGTGTTTTGGGTTTTTGATGGGGACACAAAGTCATGATGTAAAATAGACAGGCAGCCATTTGGGAGGGTGAAAAGATTGCAAGGCCTAACCTGCTCATATTTCTCCAGCTCCGTGTGATAGATCTGTCGGATCTGGGTCAATTTGGCTCTGTAATCTGAGTGTTCAATAGAGTTATCTGAAGATCCGCCAGATGCCGCTGCTGCTGCTGCCGCCGCCGCTGATCCACCACCTTTCTCAGGACCCGAAACCCCTTCCGCAAGAAGCATATTGTCCAATCGCATTAGTTGAGGGTCGGGAGGGTCTTCTTCTTGAGCACCTCGGATACTGAGACCTTTAGACAGAGGAAAGTGAGAAGAAAAACAGAGATCTCAATTAATCCATCCCATGAACTTTCTAGATATTTTGCTAAAGATCTAAAGCAGAAAGAATCATATCTTTCTCCCTCTCTTTCTCTGCAGGAATTCATTTCCGTATGGATTTCTGTAAGCTTCCAGCCCTAGCAGTTGTCATTCAAAGTGAAATGTTACTAACTGCTTTTGTGCTATAATGGGAATGAAGAGCTCACACTGAGGAGTATCAGAACTCTGCATCCAGAAAACAAAAGAATTCTGTAGCTTAGGAAATTTAGTGTCAGCTGATGGTAAAGCAAACCAATGCTGAAAATGACTCAAAGGTGTCCTATTAGAACCTGGAGTGCACAATTATTGCACAATTGTGTATATTTTATACTGCACTTGTTAGTAACTGGGAGATTTCTTCAGCACAAGGACCCCCCTGCCCACAAATCTACTCTGTCCTATCTCCAACTCCACTATCTTCAGAGATTTCACCAGCCATTGATTCTTTTATGGTGAAATCGCAAGGGTTACCAGCTTGTGTTTCCACCCACCCCAAAGGAATCTTCCTTCAGGAATCTAAAGCTATTCAAAACCTAAAGTGGATTTACTGACCCACTGACATAGGAGCCATGACCTCTTGCTGAATACCAACTTTCCAGATGTGTTTTGCATGACCCAAAAGCTTGTTTGTATTTTTGGTGTGTGTCCTTCCTCCCTGGAAGTGTTGGCCAGAAAGACCCAAGTCAGAAAGGATATTTATCTATCATTTATTAGATTTCTATCTTGAGTCCCACTTCCTGGCTGACATTAGAGGAAGCAACCAATACGATCAACTAAAACAAATATAATTAAAACATAAAGTAAATTCAATTACATGGTATTAGAAGACAGTTAAGAAACATATACCTGTATAAAGGGAGAGGCAGAACAGCACCCATGTAGTTAACAGCTCACCAAAGGTCTGCCAGAGCCTGTTACCAGAGATCCTTGAGGAACTATCTAGCTATCTACAGATATCCTTGAGGAAATATCTATCTACAAATATCCTTATGGAGATATCTACCCACTAAGGTGATGGATCTGCTGAAGTTTACACAAGTTCCAATATGGCCAACAATACCTTCTCCTGTCACAAAGATTGCCAATCTTAAAGCAGCACAAGAGGGTCAACTCAAAAAGTCAACTTGCGTTGTCATGGAAGAGCAACACATTGGGAGTTATTTATTATTGTTCTCCTTTTATTCTCAGGAAGGTGGACATATGGCTGTGGGTTTGTCTACCTCAAAGTGCCAAAAGAACAGAGCTGGCTCTGGACACCAAGGCCATTTTAACCAGGAGCAGGTGGGCCATTTCTTACTGTGGCTCACTCTTCAAAATATCTTGAGCCATTTGCCTTTTGACCACCCAGCTAGAAATACCATGTTGGTGCTAAGCATGTACCCAAAATGGCCAGAGGTGTCACCAGCAGCTGGCAGGGAAACATCTCTGCTTGTTTATTAATAACATCAGCAACGACCAAAAGGAAAAGGAAAAAAAAATCAGAGTTTCAGCCTCCATAGAGAAGACTCCAAAATGATGCCCAATCATCAGTCTCATCTGAGTACTATAGATCAAGGCTGACAATTTGTAGGTTTAATCAGGTCAGGCAGGCACACTGCCAAAATGCTCTCAACACCGCCGGAAAACAAAGTTGCGATATAATTACAGTTGTAGGGGAAAACCGCTAGAGCTATGGCTTCTTGAATCGGCATTTCCATTAAAAATGTAATGCTCCCTTCAAATATCCCAGCTCAATTAACCTCTTCAAATCGGTATGTGGGGGTGGAGGAGAAGCAGGTACTTTTGACAGATTCCCCCCAGAGGGAGGAGCTGGCACCTACTGTGTTTGCATGCCAATGGGTTTGTGTGTTGTTATTTATACACAGCGGCGCCGTGGCTGACATGACAGTAGCATCCATAAACTGGTGAGCATTCAGCTTGGAAGTGGAAACAAAATTTCTCTCCACCCCTGAACCTCACCCAAATTTCTCAAGGCAGGGGAGAGAAAGAGAGTAACCCATGGGTATTTTGCATGATACGTTGGTGCAACCATAGTGCCATAGTGATAGGGGCAGCATGCATGTGTTTTTATAAAACACGCACATTTTTGAATCCACCACCTATGTGACAATCAAATATCCTCATCAATGTCAGGAAGATAAGTGAGACATCTCCTTGGAAAACTGCTCATCTTCATCACTGAGAGGTGATCAACATTTGAAGGATGGCATCTCCTAACATGATGTACAGGGAGATGCAGGGAAATGTCTCACTGAAATGAACAGGACAGCAGCATCACTCAGAAATATGTAGGAATATAACTGAAATGCTCCACTGCCCAAGAGAACACAAAACGCACAACACGGCAGCAGAGCTGCGGGGTTGGAATCATGGAGTCATAAACAATTTTGGCTGGGCTTGGAGCCCAATTCAGAACCCAGGGTCTAAATCTGACTTCAAAATAAAAACTTGTAACATTATAATATATGGTAAACATACAATTTCATAATTATATTTTATCCTTAATCAAATAAATATATTTTGTGTCCTATCAACCTAAGTAGCATGATAATTCACATGATGATGATGAAATGCCTTGTTGCTATCATTTTACTATAGTTGTTGTGTGGCTTTAAGTTGTTTCTGAACTTGTCATGGGTTGTTGTTGTTGTTGTTGTTGTTTTGAGGCTGAGATTATGTGACTTGCCCAAGCTCACTCAGTGGGTTTCCATGGTCAAGCTGGGAAAATTGAACCTTGATCTCCAGAGCTGAAGTCCAACACTCAAACCACTACACCATTCTGGCTCTCTTTTACTATAGTAATTTCTAATTAATCTGCACCTGCCATTTATGAAGGAGTCAAAATAAGGGAGTAGAAAAACAGAGGAGTTGGATTTGGAGTCAGAGGCAAAGGTTTGGTGTACTGACTCCATAGATTACCTGGTAGGGCTCATCCACAGTAAACATGGACTCCAAACCATTAGAGAAGATGCTAGGATATAGGGCCATTCTAGAGCATGTTCTTGGTAAAAGATCCTAGATTTGGTCACGGACATAAACATCTCAGTTCCAATGCCTCTAGTGGTGGCTGGTGCTGTTAACTGCTGTCAAGTTGACTTTGACTTATAGCAATGCTGTGAATGAGAGATCTCTAACTCCCATGCTCAAGAGCCCTATTCAGGTCTTGCAGACTAAGAACAACCATGGCTTCCTTGATGAAATCTAATCTCCTGTAATACTGTCTTCCTCTTTTCCTTCTACCTTACCAAGCA